TTGTGATTCAATGGTTCACAACCAGCATATATTTACAGGGGATGTAACAACCCAGGACCTGTATTTATTGTTGGCAACCTTCCTAGCCAGCTTCCAAACAGCAAAGCCAATGGGGGAAGCCAGATTCACTTAGTGATTCGCTTAATGACCACAGCAAAAAAAAAGGTGATAAAATGAGGTGCAGTCACATGATGACTTACATAACGACTTCATGGCTTAGTGACAGGTCTGGTTCCAATTATGATCACAAGTTGAGGACTACTAATAAATAACTAGCTTACACCAATGTCTTGCTTCTGTATAACCTTACGGTTTTGGCATAACTTTTTATTGTAGCTGATTTTACTTTCTAGTTAGCAACCACCGGGGCTACCAGTTAAGATTCACAGACCTTATGATCAATGCCTCTACGGCAGTGATGGTGAACCTTTTCGGCACCGAGTGCCCAAACTGTAACGCGTGTGAATGCGTGCATGCTGGAAAGCCGGAAAACCAAAGACCAGCTGACTGGTGCACACATGCCTGTTTTTTGGCTGTTTCGGCCGATTTTCAGTCCATTTTCTGGCTCATTTTCCAGCCCGAAAACGGCCTGAAAACAGCCCCAAAAACAACCTGAGAAAGGCCTGATTTTTTGGACCATTTTCTGGTGCCTGTGAAGACCAGCTGGCTGGTGCACCAGAAACCAGAGCAGCTGGCGATGGCGTACATGCCCACTTAGAGGGCTCTGCGTGCCACCTCTGCCATAGGTTCACCATCACGGTTCTACGGTCTTGGGGAAAAGGCTCAAAGCTTGAGCCCTTTTAGGCTGCAGAGGATGATGTCCAATTTAATGTCATTTCTTCCAATTGCCTTCTCAGCTCCGTTTGTGTTAGAATGAACAAAATTTGCTCTTCCCTTTTTACAACTCTACAATCCCTTTATCCAGGGTATAGTCAGAACGACTGGATAGAGCTGAATATTTACTGTCTGGATGCCCTTCCTGACACCACAGAGTTCACAGCATCTGCTACTACCTAGGTTTGAACTCTAAACCTACCTGGTGGGAGGCGAGCCTCTTCATCACTAGATCACCACGCCGCCATTCTACTTCTGGTTTCTATCAGGAAGAGCTTTAGAGCTCTGGCTGCCTTAAGAAAGTTCAAAACATTCTCAAAGATCCATCTCATCCTGGGAACCCTTTTTTTGAACTATTACCATCTGGCAGACAGTACAGGATAATAAAAAAACAAGGACAAATAGGCTGAAAAACAGCTTCTATCCCAGGGCAGTAGCTCTGTTGAATTCTGCTGTATTGTGCAGTATTGGTGCAGTGTTGCAAGTTTTCGGTTCAATGTGTGGAGGGTGAACGATGTGTGTTTGTGTTTATTTTCATGGTCATGATGTGCACTGAAGATGGTGTTTGATTTTGTTGTACGAGGTGCAATGACAATAAACTAAACTATCATGATGCATATTAACTTATAGTAATTTTCTCATTTCGTGTTATTTTCCGGAAAGCTTTTATGCTAACTTGCATCTTTAGAAAAAAAAAATGCCTGGGCTTCTTCTAAAGTATTGACAGTGATCCAGGTGGGAAAGTAAACCTTCCTGGTGCTTTGGGTCAACGTGTCCCGTTCTTCTAAATCACAGGTTGATTTTTCCTTTATATGTACCAGGTTAATCATAAGCTCAGACGGCAAAGTCAAGGAAGCAAGAATTAAAATTCCAGATTTTAGCAATGCCAATCTTTGAGGTGGTGAAAAATACAGCAGCCCTAAACTTCCAGAACTTCTGTTGCTTAAGCGATGCAGTTGTTAGGGGAATCACACCCAGTGTTACAAAACTTTTTGTGGTGAACAGCACCCAACAGGATAGATACAGACTTCAGAGGATAATTAGGACTGCAGAAAAAATTATTACTACCCACCTGCCTTCAATTGAGGACTTGTATACTGCACGAGTCAAAAAGAGGGCTGTGAAAATATTCACTGACCCCTCACATCCCGGACATAAACTGTTTCAACTCTTACCTTCAAAACGACGCTATAGAGCAGTTCACACCTAAACACAACTAGACACAAGGAGTTTTTTCCCTGAACACCATCACTCTGCTAAACAAATAATTCCCTCAACACTGTTCAACTATTTACAAAGTCTACTATCACTATTAATCTTCTCATTGTTCCTTTCACCCATCTTCTCTCACTTATGACTGTATGACTGTAACCTTGTTGCTTCTATCCTTATGATTTATATTGACTGTTTCCTAGTATTTGATTGCTTATTGTACCCTATGACTATTATTAAGTGTTGTACCTGATGATTCTTGACTCTTGACAAATGTATCTTTTCTTTTATGTACACTGAGAGCATTTGCACCAAGACAAATTCCTTGTGTGTCCAATCACGCTTGGCCAATGAAGAATTCTATTCTATTAAGTGAATCACCATGGTCATTATGTGAATCACACAGTCCTTAAGCAAATCCTGCCTTCCCCATCGACTTTGCTTGTTGGAAGCTGCCTTGAGGTTGCAGGTAGCAATCCTGGTTACCCTGGGATACTGCAATCATTGTTAAATGGTTGCCAAGTGCAAGAATTGTGATCACACGACTATGGGAATGTTACAATGGCTTTAAGTGTGAGGAATGGTCGTAAGTTTTTTTTTTTTTTTTGGCACCATTGCAACTTCGAAGGGTCAATAAATGAATGGTTGGAAGCCAAGGACAATGTCCAATCCTGATTTGTTTGTGCATTGAGAAGGTAGAGATTCCTTGGGTGATTTAAAATGCTTCTTTCCAGATTTCTTTGCACATGATAAGTTCATGAAATAAAACACCAATAGATTTGGTTTCCATCTCTGGATTAAATCTCCTTCATTCCTTTCCTACCCATCAGCAGTGTAAGACCAGATCCATTTGTAAAGGTTCAATTAAACTGATTTATTGCTTAAAGTCTATGCATAGGAATCTTCTCAACTAACAGCCGGTACCTGCTTAGAGTATCTAATGACACTCCTAAAACTAATGCAATCCTAAACTGCATTAACAGAAGGATACAATCAAGATCAAATGAGGCACTAATGCCACTCTATAAAGCCTTAGTAAGACCACACCTAGAGTACTCCATTCAGTTTTGGCCACCATACTATAAAAAGATGTTGAGACTCTAGAAAAAGGACAGAGCAACTAGGATGATTAGGGCAGGAATCATTACAGGAACTGGGCTTGGCTAGTCTAGGGAAGAGAAGGACCAGGGGAGACAGGATAGAGGTCTTCCAGTATTTGAGGGGCTGCCACAGAGAGGAGGAAGGGGTCAAGCTATTTTCTAAAGGACCTGAAGGCCAGACAAGGAATAATGGATGGAAACTGAATAAGGAGAGATTCAACCTGGAAATAAGGAGAAACTTTCTGACAGGGAGAACAATCAACCAATGGAACAGAAGTTGTCCTCGGAAGCTGTGGGAGCGCCATCACTTGAGACTTTCAAAAAGAGATTAGACTGCCATTTGTCAGAAATGGTGTAGGGTCTCCCACTTGGGTGGGGTGGTGGTGGACTAAATGACCTATAAGGTCCCTTCCAATTCTGATTATCTGTTATCTGTTACTCAGAGGAGGGTGGACTTCATTCTCTTGTGGCTATGTAAGGATTCTAGGCTGAGTCCCTTTTTCACTCCACCTCCAGGTTCTAGTGTTCGTTTTCACTACATCACACCATTCTCATAGGAACTCCATAAAAATTTAATAGGAGGCTATCAATATAACAAGAGAAGAAACAAATTAAGTTCAGTTTTAGTCAGTAGTTATGAGCTTCTTGTCTATTTTCAGAATTTTATGTCCCCAATCAAAAAGCACCACTGGGAATAATTAGATACAAGTATAGTATTCCTCAATTTACTTTTCATTTAGTGACTTTGAAGTTACAAAATCTTTGAAAAAGTGACTTATGACCCATTTTTACACATATGACCGTTGCAGCATCCACATGGTCATATGATCAAAATTCAGACATTTGGCAACTGACTCATATTTATGATGGTTGTAGTGTCCCGGGGTCCCGTGATCCCCTTTTGCGACCTTCTGACAAGCAAAGGCAATGGGGAAGCCAGATTCACTTAACAACCGTGTTATTAACTTAATAACTGCTGTGATTTACTTAACAACAATGGCAAGAAAGGTTGCAAAATGAGGCAACATTCACAACAACTGTCCTGCTTGGCAACGTAAGTTTTGGACTCAGTTGTGGTTGCAATTCACCTGTATGTTATTTTCCTTCCTCGATGCTCTGTGTCCCTATTCCATAGTGGTGACACATAGAACTGTTGTGGTCTGCCGGTAGCCTGCAGAAACAGCAGCAGAGTTGGACAGTGGGGAGGAACAAGGGTCAGTCTGAGAGTCTGGGGAGGACTCTGGCGAGGGTCCTGCGTCCGACACAGAGATGGGGCCAGGGTCCTCTGGGACTTATGGAGCCTCCAGAATCTGACAGCAGCGAGGCAGAGAAACAAGGGGAGCCTGTTCCCAGTGTGCGCGTGCGCAGAACTGCCAGAAGGCAAGAACAGTTAAGACAAAAGGGGCGATTCAGGAGTAAGGCTTGGAGTGATTGGCCCTCCCATAGGACATAAAGGAGGAGCAACGGGACATGAGCCTTTGCAGGAAGCAACTTTGTTCGTACTGGTCAGTTTGAAACCTGAAGCTTTGTGTTGAATTTGTGTTCTGTTTGGCCTCGTATAACTAATTGGACATTTAGTCGTTGGCAGCATTTCAAGGAAGAAAAAGGTGCGTGCTTATCAGACTTATACCAAAGGACTCTGGCAGACTTCCATGGGACTATTTGTAAACTGTTGGAGAATCATTACAAGCTGTGAATGACTACAATTCATAGCCGTTGAAATTTAAAAAAATGGGTTTTGGGACTAACATGTATTTGTTAGTGTCTCAATAAGCCTTGGTCAGAAAAGAACTATGGAAGAACGTTTAATTCATACTTTCTCCCTTCCTTATCAAGAAACCAGAAACGTCACCCCCAAAAGTTAAAGATCTTTATTTAACAAACACAAACTTAATTTAGCAAATAACATTCTGGGAGCTCATCTAGTAAACCCTGGAAAACACACCTGTAAAGTTGCATACCTTGAACTGAACAGGTGAGTGCTTTGTGTTAAAAAGAGAACACAGCCCTCTGGCAGTTAATTAAAAGATAAAAGACTTCTAGAAATGGGACAATCAGATGAGCAAGCTACCAACCAAGTGTGGTAACCTTTCATCCTGAAGATTTATCTTTAGGTGTCATGTTTATAAAACTCGGAGATACCAGACCACAAAGCAAAGCATCTGTTTCTGAAAAGATACGCCCCATTCTGACCTCTAGTATTTCTAGGACGGCTTCATCCAATCTGGAATAGGACTACTCTTCTTCTGGTCCAGCCGTGGTGTTTTCATATTCCTTTAATTTGGAGATTTCATTACTTTCTAGGGAACCATCAGAAGTTTCTTTAAACTCCTGTTCTTTCCATCCTGCATTGTTTGTTACGCCCCTTTCATGAGGTGTTATGGGTTCAGACAACCAAGGGGCCTCACTTTCTGTTGGAGTGGTGGTAGCCTCTTGTTCATTCACTTTCTCCACCATAGAGCCATCACCAGGGAGGACATTCTTGTTGGAATCAACCAACGCATCCCCACTTCCAGCTTTGTGTCCTGTCAGAGTGTCTGCAGAAGGATTAGCCGCCATTTTGGTTTCTTCTTGGCAGACAAGATCTTTCTCCTTATCGTCCTGAGTTCCACAGCTTTCTCCTTGGTCATCAGGTGGGATCACCTCACAGTCTGCTTCCGAAGGACCGCCTTTGGGTACGACGTCTACTTTCCGTCTCTTGATCACCATATCTAGCGATTCAATCTCCTTCCCATCTGGGAAGTCCTCATGGCCACCTTTGGGGGCCAAGATGCTAACTTCCTCCTTTGTAATGACCACCTCGCCAAGATTATGGGAGATCCTCTCAATATCATTGGGGCTTTTAAGGGCCGTGGGGATTTCTCCACTTAACCTGCTCAGCTCCAACTTCCTCTTCTTGGATTCCTTGAGGTTATCTCCCTCAGCTTCACCCACGCACTCATCAGCATGGCCCTGTCTCTCCAACGGACAATTAGAAGGTACTAGGACTTCTTTGCGGTCTTCCTTCTCTTCCTTGGCTAGCGTTACCAATGCAAGTTGAGATTGGTTTGCATTTTTGGAAGTCTTACAGTCATCCACAGGTTTCATTAGAGGTTCTACAACCTCCCCATCTTGTAACAGCTCACCATCTTCTACAGAGTTGGTTCTTCTCCTGATACCTTTGTCCTGCACAGAGTTACTGTCTGAAAGGCTCAACGTGGCACTAATGCTGGATACGGGCTGCTCCGTGTGGTTATGTTGTACTGTTGTATTTAAATCACTGCAAGCCATACAACTCTCTGCTGACAAGCCACATTTCTCTTTTTCTTGAGTTTCTCCAGCTTCCTCCTGCACAGGTTTTTCCGCAAGTCTCTGAAGGGTTGTTTTGGGGGACTCAACACTGTCCTTCTCCACAACTTCTCCCTCTCCTTCCTTGGCGTGTGCTTGTTCTTCCGGGTTAGTCAGAAGCTTGAGGGACAGAGGTCTGAACCTCCGGAGTTTCTTGCGAGGGCCCCAGACAAATTCACGCTTTGGCTTGAAGTGTTGCCAGGCAAAATAGACCAACTCCCTCCGTTTGGGTTTGCTTCGGACGGTGAACATGAAGTAGTCCAAGACGCTTCTCAGCACCCGAGGTAGCCCCTGGTGGACGAGAGTCTCTGCCAAGAAGAACTTCACCAGCTGCACTTGGTAGTCCTCATAGCCCATCTCGCCCAAGCATTTCAGGATGCGAGTGATCCGTAAATTGTTATGGCTGTACCTGAACAACAACAACAACAACAAAAATAGTGTGACAAGAGGTGGAGGGGAAGAGAAGGACAATTAAATACTACTGAGACATTGTATTACAGGTAGGCCTCGTTTTACAACCAGTTGCTTAGCAACCATTCAAAGTTGTGTGGGAGGGGAAAAAAAAGAAGATAATTAAGTATGATTGAGACGTAAAAAACAGATTTTGAAATCTGTATTACAGGTAGGCCTCGTCTTATGATCAGTTGCTTAGCAACCATTTAAAGTTATGTTGGGGGGGAGGGGAAAGAGAAGGACCATTAGGTACAATTGAGATATGAAAAAACAGAATTTAAAGCAGGGGTGAGCAAACTTTTTGGCTCGGGGGCCTCACTGACTTTTAAAATTTGACAGACGGGCCGCCACCTGGTGTCGAAATGCCTGTCATTACAAGTCAAAATCGAATGAATGTAATCATTCAATCATTCACATCAAACCTTAATTCTGTACCAATCTTCGGCGGGCCGGATTAAAAAGACCAACGGGCCGGATGTGGCCCCCGGGCCGTAGTTTGCCCACCCCTGATTTAAAGGATTGTATTACAGGTAGCTCTCAACTTATGACCGGTTGTTTAGCAATCAAAGTTATGACAGACTTACCAGGGGAGGACAGGTACTTAGGATCTGGATTTGAAATTCCAATGGTCAGTTGTCGTCCCCCCCCTCCCCCCACCCCCGATATCACATGATCAAACAGTTGAATTTAAGCATTTCAAATGCTTAATTTTATTGATTAAATTGTATATTACCTAGAGCCCTCCTCTGAGAAAGGTGAGCAGTTAAGAAAAAAATAATTAATTAATGGACATTTGCAGCACCCAGAATCAGAACAGAGTTGGAAGGGACCTTGGAGGTCTTCTATTCAAGCCCTCTGCTGAAGCAGGAGACCCTATACCATTTCAGACAGGTGGCTGACTGTCCAGTCTCTGCTTAAAAACCTCCAGTGACGAAGCAGCCACAACGTCCGAAGGCTAGCTGTTCCTCTGGTTAACTGTCCTCACTGCAATGTCATTGCAATTGCAATGACCATCACAATCCTGCAATGACAAGATCTTGTAACTCACAGGTACAAGATCCCGCGTTCTCGTAAACGTGGTTTCATGAGGGTTTTGCCAACAACCCCAAAAAGCCAACACAGTCCTAGGCCGCACGAATAGAGGGCTAGAATCAAGATCACGTGAAATGCTAATACCACTTTATAATGTCTTAGTAAGACCACACTTGGAATATTGCATCACCCAATATTTTATGGGGTGATGCAATATTTTATTTTGTATTGGGTCACCACAATATAAAAAAAAAGACTCTAGAAAGAGTGCAGAGAAAAGCAACATAGAGGATTAGGGGACTGGAGGTTAAAATATAGGAAGAACAGTTGCAGGAAGTGGGTATGCCTAGTTTGTAACGAAAAAAAAAAGGACTAAGGGTGACATGATAGCAGTATTCCAATATCTCAGGGGCTGCCCCAAAGAAGAGGGAGTCAAGCTATTCTCCAAAGCACCTGAAGGACAGGACAAGAAGCAACGGGTGGAAACTCATCAAGGAGACAAGCAACCTGGAATTAAGGAGAAACTTCCGAACGGTGAGGACAATTAATCAGTGGAACAGCTTGCCACCAGAAGTTGTGGATGTTCCAACACTGGACGTTTATTGGACAACCACTTGTCTGAAATAGTATAGAGTCTCTTGCTTGAGCAGGGGATTGGACTAGAAGACCTCCAAGGTCCCTTCCACCCTTATTACAGAAATGTGCCTTGATGTTGTCCTGACCTAACCTAACCAAACTCAGGATGGGGTGCTTTGAGTCAGACACTTATTCACACAAGAGCTACAACCTGAAGGTTTCACTAAGAACCGCTCCCAATGGATGGTCTATTACGTGCAAAGGAGCTTATGCTTGTATGAAATGAGAATTTACTCAAGAGGTGAATCCTTGTCTGACTGAACGTAATTTTTGTAGCTCGGGGTTGAACAGCGGGATCCTTGGTGCTCTCAGAGGTGGTGATTTTCTTGCAGACGCTGCATTACCCAACTAGGTAACATCATCAGTGCTAGAAGGGAGTGGAACTGATACTCAAAACAAATCATCTACACGTCATTCAAAAGAGACAATCAAAAAGCCCCATAGGAAAAGAAAAAAGTCCCCCCAAAATCCTCCTTACCAGCAATCAATACCATGTGATCAGAGATTACCATTGAGACTAACGCTGGACCAAAAATGAAGTAAGCAATATCCAAATCAAGCAAATATTAATGCAGAAAAATGATCCAATAGCAAATAACAGCCTAACCAAGGAACTGCCAAGGACACCCCCACCAACACTGATACAATATAAAAATAAGAGCAAAGCCCACTCCCTTCTAACACTGATGACATTACCTAGTTGGGTGATGAAACGTCTGCAAGAAAACAACCAAGCTCAGAGAACACCAAAGACCCCATAATCAAAGGCTATGCCGTCAGGATTCCAGTAGTTCCCCCAATTAAATCATGCACTTGAGCCAAACTTCCAGAACTTCAAAAGGATTTATTGGGAGTTAACATGTCCAGCACTGCCTGTGTGTAGCTGACTCTGAGACACATATTTCATTGTCACCCTTGACCCTGGTTTTCCCACCTCCTAGGTGTATCATAATTCATATTCTCCAATGGGACGCTTTCATAGCTAAGAGTCATCAATCATGCTCTCCAGTTAGAATTTTGCATTGCAGAAACATCAGTCACCTAGTTGCTATCTTTGGAAACTATTTATGGAATGCAGTTTTGATTTCCAAGCTGCTGCACTGCTCCCCCTTTCCTTTCTGTTGGCAACTCTAAAAAGACCATGGAAATATTTTGAGTTGACATCATGATTCCTTGTAGTACTTGTTGCGTTCAATTCATATACAGCAACCAAGCAACCAGCAACCAAGCACGTCAGTGACAGCAGGCCAAGAGATAATAATCTCAGAAGAAACTCACCGGTTGAGATTCCAAAATCGCTCACACCAGTTTTCCGCTTTAGTCAATTCTCCCGTTTCCTCATTGATTAACTCGATGCCGTAAAATTTCAACATGAGTTTATAAGCCCGGATGAACCTCTCCATGACTTCTTTAGATTTCTTGAAGGCCTGAGATGTTAAAGAAGATATCAAACATCAAATCATCCCCTAGTACATTTAGGCATATAAGAAAATACCACGTCAAATATCTAGCACTAGCATAGCAGTTAAGACATATATACCGCTTTACAGCCCTCTCTAAGCGGTTTACAGAGTCAGCGTATTGCCTCCCACCATGTGGGTGTCAACTCATAAAATATTTTTATGGTCTTTTAAAAACATATTAATGACTTCCAAAATGTGACGCTTACAGCTGAGCTAAATACCGTGGAGGCAATCAGACGAAGCATCGAAACTTCAATTTCATGGATGAGGCGGGATATTATAAAAAGGATCTTCCTACCTCAATTTCTTGGTGCGTCAGCCGTTTGGCATGAAAATTCATCCCTTGTTCACGCAAAGGAAACAGCCTGGAAGGAACGAAAACATTTGCTGTTCAGAAAAGATCTTTTCAGAAAAGATAATTTTCCAAAATGGAGCTTGGAGGGGTCCCGCGTGCCCCTCCCATGCTCTGTTCCTTTTCTTCCTGAGCCCCAGAGGAGCCTTAGGGGAGCAAAAATGCCCCCCCCCGAGGCTTCTCTGAGGCTAAGAAGCTCCCCAAAACGGGTGGGGTCTGCAAAAAAAAAAAAAAAAAGAGAAAAAGCCACGCCCACCCAGTCACATGGCCATGCCCATCAAACCACGCCCACAGAACCCGTAGTAAAAGTTTTTGAATTCTACCACTGGTTAGAACAATTAATCAGTGGAACCATTTCTTGCCTCCAGAAGTTGTAAATGTTCCAATAGTGGAAGTTTTAAAGAAGAGATGTCCGGAATGGTATTTCCTGCCTACGTTTCCTGCCTAAGAAGGGGGTTGGACTAGAAGACCTCCCAGGTCCCTTCCAACTCTGTTATTCTATTGTATTGTATTCTAATTCCTTATTCTATTGTATTCTATTCTAATTCCTTATTCTATTCTATTCTAATTCCTTATTCT